TCAACATGGTTCCAAATTGTAAATAGTCGAATGGTATTATTAAATTTAGCTACTTCCATTGGTGAAACTAATGTATGAACTCTATTATTGAATAATTGCCAATCATTTTCAGTAGATTTTCTATCTCTTAAGCATAGGAGGAGACTGCGAAATGTTTGTTGTTCTTTTGAATTCCCAGCTTGTCTTTGTATTGTTTCTAATTTGAATACTTTATTAAATTGTATATAAACTTTGTGACCTGCTTTTGACATAGAGTCACACAATCAGGAATCTGGTGCATATATTGGAAGGTTCAAAACAGGTGAAAGTTGACCGAAATCACCAAAAAACAATACAGAACAACCTCCAAATAGCTTATTTTGATTGTGTAAAAAAGCCTGGTATAAGCGCTGATCAATTATTGCAAGAAGCTTATGACTGATCATACTTTTTTCATCAAATAAAATAACTTCAACACCTTTTATCGATTGTTGAAGCTTTTTTAAAAATTCAGAACTAAGTTCTAAATTATTAAGACTTGCAGGTAGCAAAAGTGCAGAATGAATTGTATGACCATTTATATTAAAAGCGCGATATCAGTTGGTGCAAGAATTAATACTAGTGGTTCTTCTTTTGGATTAATTCTATGTTCTTGAGCTATCTCAAACATACAATTGCGAATAGCTTTAATTATATATGATTTACCGGTACTAGCTATACCTATGACAATTGCATGTAAAGGTTCTATTGATTGATTTGAATATTCAAGAATTGTAGAATAATATGTAATTACATAGTCATAAATTTGTTTTTGTATTTATTTAATGTATTTGGGTCAATATAAACTTCATCATTGTTATAAAAAGTTGTTTTGATTTGACCTTTTTTAGCACATTCTAAAAATGATTCTATATTACCAAGATTTGGAAATATTTTAAATGATCCTGACCACATATGATTATTATCAATTTGTCGTTCTCCAATATCTGATGAATTATTTGTTAAAATTTGCATATGTTTCTCAAAAATTTGCATCCAAGGCTCTTGAAATTCAATATTATCTTCTTCGAGCTCTTCATATTCATTATCTTCTTCTTGATCTTTTTGATTTTCAGTATCTACTGGCTGACCAAGAAGATTATTACCATCTGCCTCAATATCAAGAAAATTTTGTTGATATATTTCTGTTTATTGTATGTCACTATTACCTTGAAAAAAATCTGTTATATTTCGATAAGGGATATGAAGGAGTACTTTTAGCCTACAATAGTTTTTCCAATCTGGCCCAAAATGAACTAGTGATAGCCAGGACCAAATTCGAATAATACAACTTTTTTTACATGGATTCCATTTATGTGTACGAGGTCCATATATAAAGTTTTTATTTAAACTAAATAAAGAGTAATTTTCGAGAATAGATGGTCGATCCCAATAAATTTGTAGATAAGAAAGTCCTGTCTTAATAGTATTTTTGTTATTATTGCTTTGCATATTATCATGAGTTAATTCGTGCAATATACCATCTTCATTAAGATTAAGAGTAAAAAATGTAAAGACAATTTAACTAGTGGGAGTATTAAAAGAAGATGTGATGTTTCTTGAGCTGTAAAATCTCTTTCTGATACAGTATTTAATAAAAGCTATTGAATTGATTTTAAAGCAGGTTCATCGGACCTAGTATTATAAATGTTAGCAGCAAACATTTTATTAAATGCAGTAGACCTGGGTTCTGACTTGCTAGCATATTTCGCAACATAAGAAAGTGCTACATGAAGAGAAATAATTGGTTTCATATCAACATTAGCCCTCCAACCTTGAAGTTGAATTCGGCAATAAGGGTTAAGTAATGAATCATTGCAACGCAATAGTAACTCTGGTTTGTTATACTTATCAAATTGAATTATAGTTGAATCACACAATTCTTTAGAATATTCAAACTGACATTCCTCTAACTTCATATTTTTATTTATTGAAAGGCAATAAGATGGTGAACATTTTGTATATTTTTGAAGTCTATTAACTAATTGACAATGGTCTTCAAAATCGTCTGTTAATTCTGCTTGCCGCTTTTGACACAGATGTTGCTAAGATATATGAGTATTAGTATCTGGATTCATTGCTATAACAATTGAATCTACATAAGTAATCATATCTTCTATTAATTTTGTATCTTGTTGTGTATTCTTCCAGTCAAAAACCGGAGCTCCAGAGACTTTTCCAATGCTATGAATATGAAGGCTTCCTCTATGTTGCCATTTATATTGATACCAATACTCAGTAAGATTCCATTTAGGTATTAACACATGTTCTAAAAAAAGCTCAAACTGCCGCAAACCAAGTTGCTATATGAGGATTTTTCTTTAAATTTTGGTATCGTATTTTGGCAGCTTTTGTTAAATTAGATTCAGTAAAAATATTATTATTTGGCATAAGGTTATGAAGATCAGGCCAATGTAAGTCTGCTGTACTGAAAGTAAAGAATATAAGACCATTGCTACCAATTTGTTTAATCATGTCCATAAGTTCACCACTTATTTTTTTCCAATAGAGCCGTGTGCTTTGAAGAGTACTTCTATATCAAATAATACGATTAACAATCTGATTATTAGCATTAAACAATTTCTAGATATCTTCTATAGTAATATATGAATCTTTCAAGTTTTGTCACAAATAAAGTTTTTTAGTTTCCAAAGCTCTCTATTGCATTACTGAATTCAATACAAAGTACCAAAATCGTTGGTGTTGTGCAAATCTTCTATCATGATATTTGATTAAATATTTAAAGTATTCTGCAGGAAACACATGACGATATCGTTTGATACTACGTAAATCCGCTTTTCCAGTAGGAAATAACGTAGGAAATGCTTTTATTATATAACCCGTATCTTTAAATTCATTAATAGGAGTATAATCAATAGTAGGCCAGGGTATAATATTATCCAAATTCATAAGATAATTAATTTAATTATAGGTAGCAACTTCTTCAGTTTTCTTAGATACAGGATTTGGAACAAAGGTATATGTGATATAGTTATCTGACATATTAACAATATCGCTTATATTACTATTATTGGTTAAATTAACTGTGTCATTAACTGATGAATCAACATCATGTACTGCATATAATCTCTCAAACACAGAACCATCTTTGGGTAAAGTTTGTAATATATCGTGATCAATTTCAATATTTGCATAAAATGGATTATTTTTTCTAAGAAAATTTAACCAAACCAAGATATTTGCATGCTTTACTTTAAAATCATGGAATGTACTACAATCTTGTCCAGTTCGTCGAACAACTAATGTATCAATTGTAGCGAGATCTCTAGGTAGTCTTGTAATAAATCCTTGAATGTTTTGTAGAAAATTAATCACGTGACCCCTGTATCTGAGCTGTCTACTGTTATAGAACAGTTTATTATTTTATTAGTTTATTATT